GCATAGAATCTTTCTTTGTAGAGGATGTCAGTGCCTACAGGTTCTGTATAAAAAACTTTTCGCCAGCGTCAATAATTAATTGGATATTTCCTTCTATACTTTTTAGCACGTAGCTATTTATTATTAGTATTGTTCTTCCGACGTTTGATTTCTTTTTAATTATAGGAAATGCGTTTTTCTAAAGTACATAACTTTTGGGATTGACTGTATAGCCAATACATCCTTAAATGATTTGCCATCAATATAGCCTCTTATTATCAATTGTTATTTGCATTTATTTTTATTTACAGATTTACAATTTAAATTAATTTTCTGTTCCATTACCTGTTGTTTCGAAACGCACATGTCATTCGCGAGATGTTTCAATATTTAAAATAACAAATTAGCAGCAGACAGCATAATTACATTGAACGGTAATAAACAGTACCTACATATTTCCAATCGGACGTTCGTTTACTTGGTTTGTCGACTGCAAATGTTTTCCAATAATAAACGCTTAGTTATCGTTGTACGAACCCTTTATCAATCGGCGATAAGATAAACGCGATATAAAGCTATATATTATCTTGGTGCACAAATCGATGAAGTGACAGTGAACAAGGAAAGTGTAGTTCAAGATGGACGGCAAGTCCACGGCAGAGGGAATAGTTCCGGAAATGAATAAATGCAAAATAGAACAATGTGACAGTGCTCCGACGAGTAAAGACTCCACGATCACCGTAGACGGTCGGGTGTTCCGGCGGCCAAAGTAAGTAGACGCTTTATCATTTCTGAAACGCGGATATTTATGTGGATGCTTACTTCTCTGGAAAATGGATAAACGAATGAGATCTACATAAAATGTATTGCAATTTTCATTTCTCGTCGCTGCGTGTATGTATCTCTTCTGCGTGAGTTGCTTTCAAGCTAAACCCGCATCGTATACTTAATATAATTTTTGCTGAAACTGAGAGACGTTTGAAGATGGGACGTTCAACTCGAGCGATATTTGTATTGAGTTAACATACGACTTAAGTTCATCCTTCCGATTCCATATATGTTTCATTACCAATACGTAGAGAGGCATATCCGTGCAAACATTCGCTGTGTAATCATTTCATTACGAGATTGCTCGATTTTCCCGTGACGAGATAACATTGAGTCAACGACGGACCGTGACAGCCAATTTTCAACGGTAACGTTCGTTCTGTTTGTGCGAGCGCGAGTAAAACTCTTGAAAACGGGCGTGGAGTAGTAGGACGAGAAAAGTTTTCGTTTCAGCGGAGGCGGCGAACTAGCACGAAAGCGTCGATGTACACGCGCATATACGTGGACACGTACGTGTGACGAGATATCGGGGTTTAGATAAACGTCACTTAGACCGTGAGAGATGTCCACGACGCAATAAATGGGAGGAACGCAAAATTTCGCGTGATCTAGCACGAGCTATATATTACGACGCCGCCGCCGTGTGAAAGCGCATGAAGCATGGCCGGAGTGCGAAATATGCATATTTACCGGCTGAGAATTAACATTTCTATGCGGGAATTAATTTTACGCGCCAGTTCGCGGCTACGTCGCGCGAACTGTATGCTTATTGCGCTCTGAAATATTAAGGAGCACCATTTCCCACGAAACTATTGTTTAGTAAGGTTCAATGGCCGTGGCACGTGGCTCCATTTAGTCCTTTGTTTCAGACTCAATTTAACAAATCGTGTGGACAGAATCTATAGAAGTAATAAACCCCTTGTTAATTGTATGAGATGATTTACTCATAATGAACAATGAAATCGGTAGACCGCGCGGCGCGCCGATTGCGTTAAACGGCACGCGAGATATCAAAGGAATTTACTGCGTTAAAAACGAAATCGGAGGTCTCTCATTCCCAGCAGTAATTTCGCAGCGGTCCTCTTTCAGCGATTGAGCGGCGACGGTTATATGTAATCGTCGCTCGGGGATTCGCATTCACGGCGTCGGAAGTGACTGATGGGAATTAGTGGCCAGAGCGAGGTGTTTTAAAGGAAACCCGGCGTACCGGTATAACGTCGGTGACTCTTTCCCCGATGCACATTTGTCTAATAATAATGAACGGTGGGTTTGCGTCCGCGTTTATGACTAGTTTGTAAGTAACTGACATCCGGCTTTGTCAAACAGGCGCGTTTATTCATGTCCATGTGCGAATTTGCATGCCTGTAAAAGCGTGTCTGCATTCAGTTCGAAAGAGTTGTTCAACACAGGAAACTCTCGGTATCCCTCGAGCTTTCAAGAGCTTGATCCGCCATCGTTCCGTTTTATATTACTTCAATCTTGTTTGTTACTCACTCGAGAACAAGGTGTCGGCGCAGTTTTTTCAATTTACTTGTTTCTACAGGCTTACCTTGCAATCGCTGAATAATCACAAAAATTGCACCTTTATTGATGCTATCGATTTATGGATAAAAAGGATGTTTCTTTTCTAAGGTTTTCCAATATGTGAATATTAACATTAATGGTAATGATATCGTATATTATATAATAATGATGAACATGGAACTTATTGGAGTATCTATGTATGTACACGCACATTGTATACGTACATACGTATAGATATGTATATGTATGTATTGTGTTTATGCAGCGGAATAACTGTTACATTATGTCTTAATAAACACGAGCGCCAATGTAACTATAATTATGAATACGACTATAACTGCATAAACAGCAGAATATATTGTTAATTAGCATATGGTACATACATAACAGGTAAATACGTGGAACAATGAGTTCGCGAATAATTCAGTGAGAATTTGCTTCAAAGCACTTAATACTTCAAGCTTAAGCATCATCAAGCATTCGCGTGCGCGATAAGTTTGTGAAATATGGAAATTAGTCGTGTTTGAATTTTCTACGCCGGTAAATAAATTTCTCAGATCTTTGTCTGTCGCTGCATCGTCACATATTTGAACAGCAATATCTTTCATCAACATGTATTACTCGTAGTCGTAGTTAAGGTGTAATCTTTAAAACTACGAAAACATGATCGAATTAGGTGATAACCAGGCTGCCTGTCGTTAAAAATGGCATGATAATGTATTATTCAATTTACAATAGTTTGTAGAAAGTTTCCAAATAGTAATTATTTATAAAAGAAAATTTTCAAGCAACTGTACTTAATTTCTATTCAACTGATTTTAATTT